GAGCTGGAATAACAAGGTGGTGAATCAGGCACTAAAATTCCCTTCCGAGAATCATGTGATGTAAACAAATACATTCAGATTCACATTTGAGGTTTGTAATGTCTCCAGTTTCTTCCAAAGCAGATTATGTTTACCAGAATGCAAGTTTTAAAGAAATTTTGATCTATGTAGTTTGTGAAAGATGGTTTTATTTCATATTCTTATGGCTGTGGAGCTTAAAGTGGCTCCATAGATACTGTCTGCACGATCAGAGATGTTTGGATCAGATGCTGTTGTGTGCATCAGGAAGAAAGGATGATTATTTTTTTCATTTAGTGGCTGACCTTGAGCACATTTAGGAAGGATTTGGTCTAACAAAGGAGATTGCTGCCCCCGCTCTCAGTAGTAGTAATGGCTACTTGAATATTGAAGGTGGGAAATACAGGGTTGTTTAAATAACTGATTTACCTGGGGGAAAAAAAATTTAAGCGTCCAAAGAGCAGGTTCACTTGGCCTGTAGTATTTTAATGAAGTACAAAGGGCTGGTTACAGGCAGGATCTAGCTGGGAAAAGCTGTGCTATGATCTCTGAGACTGAGGGAAGAGAGGTCCCTTGGTGACAGCGCTGTCAGCACAGTGTGGGACCTTCCCCAAATTACACACCTGAGCTGCAAGCGCCTGACAGGGTAGGCAGGCAGGCAAATGCCTCTGTATATAGCAAATTCCTCCCTGCCCTATGTTTTCATTAATGCTTGCTGTACAAATCTTGTTCTTAGTGCTCCCTCAAGGGCCAGGCAGTAATTTAGATGCTGATTAGCGAGCGAGATGCAGCAGCACCACAGCGCACAGTCTCTCCTGTCAGCACTTGACTGAGGAGGGGAGCAGAGCTCCCAGCTACGCCTGCCACAGCAGCTGCATTCGAGAGTCTAATGAGGTGTTCCTGCAATGGGAATATTTCCAGAAACATATACTCACTCCAGGAGGGCTTACCAGGATATCTCTTTGTAATTAAATGTAATGACATCTAAACCCATAGTCGAGTTTTCATTGATAAACACTGGCAAATAAAAACCAGCAAGCGACAATCAAACAATTAACTATGTAAGCATTCTTTATGATGGTCTTTTCTGATTTTTTTTTTCCTTTTCCTACCCCAGTGGTTTAGTAAGAAGCGATGAGATGCTCTGTGGCAATGTGTAGTTAGGACTCTGGCAAAAAGAAAACATTAAATACTTTTTGATCTTGCTATGTTTTCTAGGAGAAAGAAAAAGTAGTTTTGATAACAAAAAAACCAAATATTATGTTAGTCAACTTCTAAATCAGAGTTCAATGAGCTTGTTTTACAAATACCAATGGCTAATATGTATGCTGGTGGTCAAACACCAGTGAGGTAAACTGGTAGATCAAAAAAATTTATTTTTATTTTACTTACAGAGAAATTGAAATGTGAAAGGACTGAAAAATAATTTTGAGATATTTTCCTCTTTTTCTGCCACTAAATGGCAGAAAAATGAAGAGTATTTTCTGGATTTAGTTTCTAAAATTGCCTGAGTCCAAACCTATCAGCCCCCTGTGATTTTTATCTGCTCGGCTGTGTTTTCCCAACGAAAATTCTAAACTCTCTACAAGAAGCTTTCTCCAGCAATTATACCAGTCTCTTACTGAGCTTCTTTTGTGTAAAAACTGGCCTCTGACCTGTTCTGTTTCTCCAGTGCCTGACTGAAACCCTGCAGGAAAAGCTTTTACTTGCTCTTGCCGAGGGGAAAGCAAGCAGGGTACTTAGCCGGATGAGATAAGCCTTTGCTGGATGAGACCACTGCGGAGCCCATGGGTGATATCAGAGGCCAGCTCCTTTAAAACAGGTCACCTCTTGCCCTGCATGGCTGCTCCAAGTGCATTAACATTATCCAGGGGGAGAAGCAAGGCAGATGAATTTTGATCTCGCTCTAAAACGACCACAAAGCTTCCCCCAGCATGGACATGATGCTTGCACAGCACTGGAGATCCGTGGAAGGAGTGATCTGCAGCACCAAGCAAATTTCATTCCAGCTACAATCAGCCTCCTTCCTCTGGGTTCTTCTCTGCCTTCAAATAGGGGCTCCCTTGGGGGTTCTCAGCTTATTAGAGCAGCTCTGCTGGGAGGGTGTGCCGGTTGAATTCAAGGAGCTCTGCTAACAGCCGTGTTTGGGAGAGCCCCCCTGGTGCTTCTTCCACCTATTTCAGCAACATAGCTGGGCCAGGTCTTGCAGGTTTCCCTGCAAGGGGGTGGGATTTTGCCCTGGGTAAAGGCTAAAGCTTAGAACCCTCATTCTGAAAGGGGGTCTGTGCAGGCAGATGGGCTCTCAGAAGTGACTCTCCTCAAAAAAAGTGAAGTCTTTGTTTCAGAAAGTCTGTACACATATCTGGATTGATGGGAATACCATTTAGACTGAACCCTTCATTGCATATTTATTTGAGAATATAGAATAAAAGCCTTAATTTGCCAGGTGATGCTCCAGCCTACATGAGGTAAGGATCACACTAGGCTCAAACATTATTCACCCAGCACAAAGGAAAGTCCTCAACTGCTTTTTCCTCAGCATGGGTCTAAAGAAGTCTCTAAACAAAGCTCCAGTCTTGTTTTCACATATGTCCACTTGGGTATGTACAAACCCATTCTCAGGTCCTCATATGATTATGCCTCTCTAAAACAAAATCACAAAACCTGTCAAGAAATTATTTGAGTGATTAGATTCCTGTTAGTAATTAAAGCAGCCTAGAATAAGTTAAACTGGAAAAAAAGCCGTATGTTGAGATTTGGAATACAATACAGCTATATTGTGTTCTGTGAACAATGTTATGGTCTGTGAGGAAGGAAAATGGAATATAATTTTCTTCCCTTCTGGCTCCAAAAGGAGAGCAAATCTGTAGGGAGAAGTTACCTACTGAGAGCTAGGGGTTTGATCCATATATAAGAGAAACAGCTGATCTCTTCACATTCTCCATGATATAATTGCTAAGTTATAAACGTGAAAAATGAATTTCTCATTCTGTATAACTATGATTTTTTTTTTTTTTTGTGAGAAGTCCTGTCTGCTTAGTAGTCAATGGGAACTAAAGGTTGTTGACAAACCAGAGAATTTATTCTTCCCCGTGAATCAAGTGATATCGCATTCTGATAGTTGTGATTTAGTTTCTGATTATTTCCTAACCCTTCTCAAGATGAATTTCTGCTCTAAGAGTTCACTAAAGAAATTCAGTTTGTAATTGTCAATGGATTTGAGAGGGATTAGAGGGTGGGAGATGCATGGCTTGCTTGACTTCCACTGGTGGACATGTCTGATGATGTTTTTTCTTACCTTATACCTTCATTCTCACAGCAAAATCTCTTGACATGGAGATTTTCTACGTGATCTCTTGATGCCAGTACTGGCCTTTTGCAGGGAGAGCATTAATTCTTACTTTCATAAGTAAGAATAAAAAATAAAAAATTCCAATGTTGCCACATTGATGTCTTGGTATGCAACCAATAAGAAAGTCTGCAAGCACATAAATAAGCACTCATTTAGCCAGCCTGACTTCATACCCCAAAGTGTTTTATGGATTTGAATAGACACTTCTATACTGAAATAGACACTGCTATGCTTATTTACAGGTAGGGAAATCCAGGAGGAGATCAGTGACCTTACCAAAGTTCACTCAAATGTCAATGGCAGGAAACTGGCCTTTTGATTGTCTTGTATAATTCTGTATCTGTGGGATCATGCTTTAGTAATCAGTGCTGTTTTCAACTACTCTTTTTAACCCTGAGTATGAGTGATATGAATATCTTTCAGAGAGAGGTAATGGGAAATGCTTACATTGAAAAACCTGGTAATTCAATTAACATTTTCAAGATGCACAGAGTCAATGGTAAAGAATGCAATAGCGAATGTGATCAATCCTGCTGCATGGACTGGCTCATCCCCCCACACCACAGCACACCACAAGCAGACAATATCTAGAGAATAAGTCAGATTAAATGATGTTACCTAGACCTAATTCTTTGCTCAGACCTATGTTTACAGATCTGTCACACCTCAGTGAAAATTACACACTTGGTATCTGGAAGTGGAAAATTTTAGAAGGCCCATTGCAACAGTGAGAGATTGACGTCTATGTTTTTAATGACATTTTATTTTAGAGCTCCAAGGTTCTGCATATCAAATACCCTGTATTATCTCTGTCAAATATTTGTGAAATCATCAGCAATACTTTCTGGCCATTAACCACATGAAGGCAACAGCAGTGAAATAATTTCGCTCATACAAAAATTGGTTATGTGCCATAGTCAGGAAGAACCTTGAACTTTCCTTGTGTCATACAGTCTTACTTAGTTGTTCATACAGATTCTCAGATGCACTTATTTTTATTAGAAATCTCAAATTTTGCCAATTCTGCCATACAATCTAAAGCAAATTAAGGCATCAAAAGTAAGAAGCTTCAGGTAAAATTTCAGTCTGGTAATGACATGAAATTTCTAAGGTTAAGATGGCTCTTTGTAAAACTTTGTTTTGTTAAATTTGGATATTACCCTGAGGCAGTCTTCAGTGCCAGTGTTGGTATATTAATAACTAAGGTGAGGTTCTTGTTATTGAGTGCAGTAGAACCCTTTGTGAGTGTGCTTCACACCATTTGGTGACCAGACGTTTTCTGACCACAGAAGAAAGCTCATTCCCTGGGCAAAGCAGCCCTGACAGCCCCACTTGCAGTGCAGAGCCCTGCTGCCAGCCAGGACAAAGGACCTGCTGCTGAAGGAGCTCCACTGCTCACTGTTATTCACAGGCAAAAATGGGAGTTAAGTGCTTCAGATGCAGTGCTTATGTCTAAATGCTAATCAGGGCCTCTGGCTTTCTGAGACACACAAATGAGGAAGAAAAGCTGTAAATAAGAAGGTTAATTTATTATTTACAGCAGTGCTGTAGGTTCATGGCAGAGCTACAAGTGTTAGCACCAAGAAACTCTTCTGAATTAACTTTTCTCTTTTCACATGTTTTTCTCTAGAAAAAGATGAGAAGAGAACAAACATCTCACAGGCAGAGGTAAGTGATTTTATTTTTTAAAAACATATATTACTATTATTATTATTATTATTATTAATAATAATAATAATAGTAATAATAATATAATTTAAACATATTTATTTCTATTGTTAAAAACTCTCTGAAACCCACTGATTCATCCAGGCTGATACTTTTATTTACATTGCCATACCACCTGCAGTAACAGAGCCTTTTAAGAACCATCACTTCCAAAGCAGGGCTTTGGTGTAAAGCTGTGTTGTGTGTTCTGCCAGCTCTCCCTTCCCCCAGTAGCGGGGAGCTGGGAGAGGCAAGCTTCCCCTCTGCTGCCATGCCTGGTTACAGCACAGCAAACCCAGGGTGGCCCTGCCAGTTCAGCCCATCCGAGCGTGGATCTGTGGCTCACTACCGGGCCAAAGGCATTCAAGCCCCCCTCCACTCCCTCCAGCACTTGTCAATCCTACAGCAGGCAGTGCAGTGGTGTGCAGTGCACAGCAGTTAAAAGGTGGCTCCTCCAATCTCATTTTCTAACCTCCCCTTGCACAGTCCCTCCAATTCCCTGATCTCTTTCTCCTTCACCCACTGCTCCGAGCAGCAGGCAGCACTTTAAATAGCAGCAGCAGGTATTGATCGGTTCAAATTTGAACTCCAATACAAACTTATAAAGATTTACTGGCGTGAGGTTCACCAAGCAATCCCATAGTGCTTATAAATAGCTTTCTCTTTTCAAAGAAGACAATATTTTATTTATAAATGTTATCATTCTATCCATTGTGATAAGCTAAGGTAATAGGATTATCTCTACTTGTGTGAAACATGTCTCAAATGTTCCATGAAGAAAATAGATCTGATTAAAATTCACAGTCTATATATCAGGCATTTTTTAGCAAATGTTTGGGTAAAGGCAACATCATTACTACAACAAGAAACTGATAAAATGAGGGGGGGAAAAAAGCTTGGCTACCCACAGTTTTTCCTTAACCTTTTTGTTAAGAGTGAGATATGATGTTTATGCCTTCCAAAACTAGCTACAGGTGTACTGTGTGAGGCTTTCTTATCCTTTTTATGTAGACATAATTCATGTTGGTATAATATTGACACCAATTTAGCTGCTTTCATTTTGCAAAAGCTGCTCTGCTTGAGCACTGAATATACTCCAGTTAGTTTTTGTTAACTGAATATCAGTATAATGTAGTAATACTATTATTACTCTATGTGTATTGGTATAATACAGTAAAACTATTATTACTCTATGTGTAATTTTACTACCATTATTTTGGAATGATTTGTCTTTTGTGCACAGATGTGATTTTGGGGCCACAAAAAGTTTAAGTGTGTCTAAATACAACGCTCAAAATCAAAGAGTCATTTAAAGGCTGAGTGATTGGCTGCTGAAATTATTATCTTAGGTTGAGTAGAACATATTGAAAAGGTACAGGGGGTGGATTTTCCACTTATTTACATTAAAATGTATATATTAATATTTCAGTACTACCTGTACATATGTCTAATGTGTGTATAGACATACATATAATCACTGATTACACTGTAATTGGAATGTTGGCTAATGTAAACCTTGCAACTATTTTAATATACATAGACATTTATTTGCCATATGAGAATCAATTACACAGGCTGTTAAAAGGGCAGGCTATGCTGATTTTATGTTTAACAATATTTTTATAGGGTGAAGGGTAATTTTCAGTAGTATTGTGTCTGTCTTGCCTGGGAGTCATAAAGGCTGTCCATTAAACAGTGTCCTGGCTGTCCTGTGTACAGCTGGGAGCTGGCACCAGCTGTGCACAGCAGGTTTTCCTTAGGAGCTCTCAGCTGGGCGTGTGTACAGGAGCAGAAGCTCTCCCTGTGCCCGGCTCTCACCGCCTCTCTCTGTTTTGTCCCTCGGCAGTCGCAGAGCGCCTCTCCCAAGCAGAGGAAGCAGAGTGTCTTCACCCCTCCTGCGCTCAAAGGTACCGTGAGCTCCTGCCCTGCCCCTGCCTCGCTGGCTCCTGTGCCAGAGCCCTGGCTCTGCCCATGAGCCACAGGGTCATGCCCAGGCATCGCTGCCTTCCCACTCTGCTGTCACCACCCAGCATGGACCACCTGCCTGCTGCTGGCCATCTCTGTATCCTCAGCACAGGATCTTGCTGCAGTGGCAAGTTTATTTGTTTGAGGGGGAAAAAAACAAACAAAACAAGAAGTTTTTATGCTTTGATTAGCTTGCTCTAACAGATAATTCAATGCCAAATTATGAGCAGAGCTTCTTGAATATGTAAATTCTATTGGTGCTGGCCCCATAGACTTCTCTGTTTCTTATTTGAAACCACTTCCCCATATTCTGCCTCTCTTTCCAGGCAGCTGTGAAAAGGATAAAAACCAAAACTGTGGGCTGGGTATCTGATTATGGGGAGTGTGAAGACTTTCTTGGGCAGAGAAGGAAAAATGAGAAGTCTTGGTGAAAGTTCTGAGGGCTAACATGCTATGTAGGAATATGTACAAAAGCAGCAGAAATATCACCTGGGATCAGAACAATTACATTTAAGCCTTGCTTCTTATGTAGTTCTGAACAGAATTTGACTTGATGGCACTTTCAATGAAGCAAAATCTCTGGTGATTCACCAGATTCTGACTGACACTTGTCAGAGCAGGATTATTTTCAGACTGCAGTCTAAGGCCGTCCTGCCAGGTGTCTCTTGAGAAATAATGAATACATAAATTTCCATTTGTCTGCTTAACACAATTTATTACCTGGCAGAAAAGGTGGGATATCTGATTTCTTGTGTGAAATACTGCTGCTGTCATGAGGTAATTTATCATATCAGCCAGTTCTGTGGATCTCACTCTGTAGCTTCAACTCTCTAATACCTGTCCTAGCCACAGTTAAAATATCACTCAGCTGCCATGCAAGACTGTCTGTTTGCCAAAATGGGCTGAAGTTTATGTGCTGGATATTGGAACTAATCTTATTACGTTCAATTACAATACTTCTTCTGGAAGGAAAATGCTTTGCACAGATAGCAATACCTACTGATCTCTCTGCTGAATTATTTTGCCCTACAAGCCTAGGCTAAACACTGTGCAAAAACAGGTCCTCACAGCTTCTCTCAGGAACTGCAGCCTGCAGAGCACTACCTGCAGCACCCTGCTGAGCCCTGGGGAAGTGCCTGGCATGGTGTGCATCTACATCAGCTCAGCTCTCAGGGAACAGCACAACACAGGAGAGCATGTGATTCAACAGATCACAACTAACATGAAATACCTTGCAAACAGCACAGAGCAGAGCACAGAATGCCTCTCCTCCGTACCTCAGCACCCTAAATTGCACCATACTCCCAGATACTCAAGTGGATATTTGGAAGTTGATGACCCTTCCTGTAAACAGGCTGGATTGCTTCAGCTTTACCATACTGTTACTGTCATAAATGACTCCTTTTAATTTAAAAATTGCCTCGTAGAAAATCCATTTTTCTTCCTTTTCATAGGTATGAAAACATGAATTCCTTTTTTTGGGCACAGCAATGTAAAATACACTGCGCTATGAAATACACAAAGCTACTTCTACTTAGGAATACAGAGTTTTTATAATGATTTAAATTATTCTAGTATTATAGCAGTTGAAGATAACACTATTCAACAGTATTTTCAGAATAACAGGCTTCACATTTGCACACTCCTCCTCAATTTGAGCATATATGTATATTTATTTCCCTCAGTAGATTCATGGTATGGTATTCAACACACAGTAAAGTAAAAAAATGAAATTCTTTTCAGCCCCCTGTGTGCTCCATACCCTCCAAGGCTGTTACTAATGGAAGGTGGGATAGACTGTAATCTGGTGTACCTTACCACTAAAGCTGGAGATAGTAAATGGAGTGCAGAAGAGGAGCAAATATTTTAATTTGTCAACTTCTCTGACATTTTAGTGGTTTGTAGCTGCTGTTAACTCAAAGTTCGCAGAAATAAGCCAATCTTGCAGGCAGTGGAACTGAGCCTGGAAGCTGAGACAGCAGGGATGTGTGGAGAGCTGTGGGAGACATGAGGGGCTGTAGTAGGAGCCTGCAGCAGAGAGGGATCAAGAGAAACCATGGGCAGAGTCGTGCTTCAGCCTGACTCCAAACCTCCAAGTAGCTGGAAATAGTTTGTTGCCATTTTTGTAAGTTTTTTGAAGTAATTATGAAACTATGTGAGAGAAAGGCTGCTGGTTTCTGAATTGATGGCTAGGCAGGAGAGAGAAAGAAGAAATGAATGTGCATGTGGTGGTTATAGCAACCCATACAAAATGGGACATTGTTGGCATGGTTGAAAAGAGTAGAAGCAACATCAGACAATTGTAGACAACACCAGAACTATGGTAACATGTTACATGAAATATCCAAATACATTAAAATATATGCAAAAATGGAAATGCAGTATTGCTGAGGTTTTACCTATCATGGTAAACATATGGAGATCAACCTCTTAGTTAAATTGCCCAGAGGAGGGGTTCACATTTCCCAGAGAAGATGTGGCTGCCCCATCCCTGGAAGTGTCCGTGGCCAGGTTGGATGTGGCTCTGAGAAACTTGGTCTAGTGGGAGGTATCCCTGCCCATGGAAGGGGGCCTGGAATGAGGTGATCTTCAACGTCCCTTCCAACCCAAACCATTCTACGATTTTATGATTCTATTATGTGGTATCTATGTGGGCATAATTTTCCCTTCTGCCATAGCACATACTATACTGAAATTCAACATTAGCTGTCTAACATCATCACTAAACGTTTCAGTTTCATCACTACAGAAGTTTCCTCTAGTTCAAGGGCAGGCTGTGGCTGCTGCAGCAAGCTGTAGCAAACCTGGAGCAACAGGCAGGTTCTTATTACTGCATATCAATGTGTACTTTGGCTCCTGCTTTTATTTTCCTAAACAAAAACACACCAGAGTTCCTACAGACAGAGCAAATAGCTGACTCATCTCAGGGCATTGTTCTTTTTACTGGAATACAGTGTGCTGGAAAAATCAATGTGAGAGCTATTGATTTAAGTAGTAATCTGGAGAGGGACTCAGCCAGCCAGCCAGATAACAGCTCAGCATGGTGTGCTTCTTAGCATTATGTTACCAAACCTAATGGATGTCAAAGAGGTTTTCCATTTTGCTTTCATAGATAATTCTTTTCCTAACCTGCCACGCTAGTGTTTGTTAATTCCATGCTGGTATGTAGCAGGCAATGTTGGCAGAAGTCAGTATCTGAAGGTTGCACCAGACAAATTCATTCTATTTTCTGCACATTGTGATTCACCTCTTGTCACAGTTTTTTGTGTTTAGCAGCAATCTTAACTGAGGGTTCGTCACCTCCAGTTCCCCTGTTTGTGTCACTTTTTCTTCTGTTATTCATGGGCTTTTATGCCTGAACTTCAAATTTCCTCATTCTTTAAGGTCTTCTTCATGTGTGAAGGTTGGCTTGAACCTCCCTATAAAAAATACCATAAAAACAAGCACAGGAATGTTTTGCAATTTGAATAGTCATCAGTTTTACCTTGGGCAATATTTTCCAGTCAGTTCTCACTGTGTAAGGCCTTTTTTTCCTATTTACTACTCTGCTTCTTGTTCTGTATGACAGAATCAAGAAGAATCCTTTGATCCTTTTCCAAAGTAGATGTCCAGCTGTTTTAGCACAAAGATCCATCCATCCATCCATCCATCCATCCATCCATCCATCCATCCATCCATCCATCCAAGCACAAGCAGCATCTTTAGAAATATCTTCATTATTCTACTTGGTGGGCTACAGGAGCCCTTGGAAGTCTTGCTGGAGTCTCATTTTTTACCCTCACACTTGCCAGAGAAGTCCAAGATGGGAAAATAACCCTCCCAGATAGAGAGGGATCAAGTGAAGGCATCTTAGGCTGCCAGGGCAGAAGTGGATTGCACTTACCCCAAGGAACGGTGCTTCCTTGGTGTCGCATTACCACATGAAAATCAAAAGGGCACATTTGAGTCTCAGAGCTGCAACATCCCAGGGCATGCTTTGTGCTGAGGCAGGTTTCCTTTTACCTAGGTAGTCATGTTTTGTTTGGTAGCTCAGCTCATCCTTGGAAGGAAATGCAGACTGCAGTGACAGGAAGCAAGGTTTACAAAGACTGACAGAGGCAGCCTGAGCTGTTCCCAAACCTGCATTGCTCCCTAGAGGTCCCAAATCCCCACATTATCTACCAGCTATTGCTATTAATACTGGTGGCTATTTAAATACCATCAAGGTCTCCCCCTGTGGAGGAAGTGCACGTTCCCAAGTGATTTGAGGATTTCATTAGCTGTGATTCTACTGGTCTGGATGTGCTAGAGGTCAGGGAAATAGGAAAACTTTGTTCGTTTTAGATTCACTCTGCAAGAGGCTGCTTAGTTCAGATAAAGATCCTACTGGTTTCAGCAGGCTTTAAAGAAAGTTACTGTAGCTGTCTGTGTTCACTGGACCACCTTTGCAATGAGGAGCCATCAAATCATAATTAAAGTCATTCCCCACACAAGTAAGAGATGCATTTGACTGTTTTCCCTCTCAGCCTTTTGGGAAATAAATGCTTTAAATCCCCCCCTTAATGTATTTTTCTTTGCATAAAAACAAAGGCTTTTTCCTGAGCTAGGCCCCAGCTACAAGATTTGAAATGGGATTAAATCAGAGCTGTTATAAATCTAAGGAACATTCAAAGACATTATTTTGGTTTGAGTCATTAAAACAACCAGAACTCACTGGCTTTTCCCAAAGTGTTCAGACCCAGGGATTTGATACATGCATAATTCTAGTATTTACAATGACGGCTGATATTAAATGAGCTCTTTCTAGCTTCTGCCATGAATTTCAGATGCTCTGCTTGTTTAGTGCCTGCTTGTTCTTCTCTCCAAAGGAAACAACATGCAGAATAAATGATTAAAATCATTATGTCCCTCCTGAAATATGTAATTTATTAGAAGCAATTAGTACAGTATATGGCCCTCATCC